AAAATGACAAAACTATAGCATCAACTTATCAACATCATTTCAAGAGGGAAAATGGGAAAATCATGGAGTGGTCAATATTGTTAACACTCCCTGCATTGGTTTTATTGAAAAAAGTTACTCCTACGAAAAAGGCCTGAATTTGATGGAAGTGTGGGCCACTAATTTGTACATATAAGGTGGCCCACCCCAGCCTGCGCCTGCATGCGGTGCATACAGTAACGATGAAATTTTCTGGAGTGTGTCTGCCAAATTGAAAGTTTACGAGTTTTGGTCAGCGACGACTTATCATTTGCTGTTTTTTAAAATAAATTTTGGAGAAAGACAACTGCACTCGTACCATTTTTTTCTTTTTGGGGGGAGGGGGGGGGGGGGATGGTTCAAATTGGGAAAATAGAGATAGTATGTAAAGTACAAGTCGCACGACGAATGCACTAAGGCATAGGCAGCTGACCGGACCGGCGCGCAGCATAGGTTGCCTACCCATCGGGCGCTGGGCATCCCTAATAAACTGCTCTGGTGTAGCAAGCTCGCGTGTGTGAAACCGTCGACCATCTGATAGCCCCATTCCTCTCCTGATATTGACGAAAGTTTGGAAACATTTACCACTCATCGTAAATTATTCCAGCAACAACGCCCAGGCCCACCGCCAGGTCACGATCACCCCGACCACACGACCCGGCGCCGCCGAGCCGAAGCCGAACCGAAGCGCCATGACAGTTCGGCCCCGTGACCTACACTACTGCAGCGCTAACGTATTCCTGACGTGGGCTAAATACGGACCACCACCACACCTCCCGAACGCGGAAGACCCGGCCCCCTCTAAATAATCCAAACCCCATGACTTTCGCACGATTTCAGCATAGACCCTCACGCGCAACGCAAAACTTGAAATACAATTCGCTGTCCCCCTGTGGTGCACTCGACTTTCAGCTGCCTCGCCGCAGGTTTTGACCGTTTTCACGCCGCCGCCGCCGCCCCCTCCACTGTGGCCGAGTCGGCGGCCATGACAGGCCGGTCGTAAATCACACAGGGGCAGACCAGACACTGTTGCTTCCCACCAGGGTGACCCGGGGGCGGCACCGCGAGGACGCCGTCAACGGGGCGGGCGCGGGTAACCGCGCGGCCTTTACGGCAAACCGCAGCCCACGGGAGCGCCCGTCACCTGTGAGCGGGCCCCCGGTCATCACCCGTGACCCGGGCAGGGGGTTGCGGGGGGCCGCCCCCCGGGGTGGCCCGGCCCCCAACGACCGGACCGACACGAAGGCCGTCGTCGACGGTCTCATGGAACCGTAGCGGCCCCCTATATACGCTCGGCACCATGTCACCCCGGCGAACCTGACCCACAGCGACGCGTAAAACGAATCTATGCAAGGTGTCGGTCCGGTCCGCTCGCCGGGGCGCGGCCGGCGCGCCCTCGGCCCACCCCGCCCCCTCTGACAGCCCGCGCTGGCCCGCCCTGGGCGCCGGCCGCCCGCGCTGCTCACCTCGGCGACGACGTGCCGCTTGCGGGTCTCGGCCTCGAGCGGCTGGAAGCGGGGCGGCATCCTGCGGATGCGTCGGCTGCGCCTCGGCACCGGGGGCTCCTCCTCCTCGGCCGTGTCCATGTTGTCGTCGTCGTCGTTGCCGCCGTCGGCCGCGGCCTTGGACAGGCGGCCCGGCATGTCCTCGACGACGGCGTCCTCGCGGCACACGGGGCACTCCTCCGCGCGCACGGGCGCCAGGACGCTCCCCAGACTGGCTGCTGCAAGGCGGGGGGCCCTCCCTGGCCTGCTCCCGACCGACCCAGACCAGCCCGAGCGCAAGCCCCGACCCGGGCCCCCCGCAACCCGGGATCAATAACTCTCGCTTGCCTCCGCCTTGTGTCAAAGGGCGGCGCCGGCGTCGGCCGGCGGGACACCCAACTCCAGTTCCAGGCCGCCAGGCGGCGTGGCGGGCGCGAGCCCGGTCTCCAGGACCACCCCCTTCCCTCCTCCTTCCGGAACAACCCCGCCAAACTTTGAATCAGATTCGCGGTGCCCTATTGCCTGCATCCCGGCTCAGCCTCCCTGTGACACTTGTTACTGCTGCTGCTGCAGCTTCTCCTGCTGCTGCTGCTGCTGCTGCTGCTGCTGCTGCTGCTGCTGCTGCTGCTGCTGCTGCTGTTGGTGTTGTTTGAAAGGGGGAAATGACAGGCGGATCGGATACTGTTGACATTTTATTTCTCTTTACCAACTGTTGTACAATCACACATAAAGAAATAATAAAAATCACCAAAAAATTCCAGCTAGTAAAAAGCTTTTGTAAAAAGGCAAAACAATTGTGATAAAATTTGTTTAGTTTTTTGTTTCATTTCCAGGAACTGAAAGGTCACATTTTTAAATTTTTACTCCCAGCAGCCAAAGTGGGGTCTGAGGTATACAGGTACAGGTCACCTCATTACAGTTAAATCTTGACTAGCTTTAGCCACATTGTCGCCCGAGATTTCAACAACTAAATAAATACGCAATGACATTATGCCATAGGTAAAAACTACCTTGCTGGCGCAAGATAAAAGTTGCACTCGTTAAACACTTTTTCTACACAACAAAAACGTGGCAATATCTGAAGTAAATTTCCTATTTGCGTCACCATTATTTATCTTCATCACAAACATTGAGAGTACTGAATTTGAGTATTGTTCAGCTGAGCAATAGCATATGGAATAAGTACTGATCTTCACATAAACCAGCACAGCTATGAAATGATCTTGTAATACTAACACAAGTTAATACACATTAAAATACTGATATTGACATTTTGACTTCAAACTTAAATATGGAAATAATTTACTGCCACAAAACCTTACACAATACTACAAATAGACATCCAGAATATTTTGCAAGAAAATTTTGAAAGCAATGACCGAAGACTATTAACTGCCAACATTCCAAATTGTAACAATCACAAATGCGGCAATTAAGATAACAAAAGAAAATTGCCCTATTATTTTACTTTGGGGAGGAAACCTACTATGGCAACATTTGTCTTTACAGGGAATGCCACATTTAAATATCTGAACCCTTTGCTCTCAAATAAAAACCAACTTCGAAAGCCTCCCATCATACACAATTTAAAACTTAATTACACAATCAGCTCAATATGAGCCACACATATTATCAGTAACAGTTTTCATAAGCCCACTTGCTGACAAAATACAATGGGACCACCAACGCGCACTCAGGCGCAGTCATAAAACAATCTGAATCAGGTTGAAAAATCGACATATCACTCAGCAAGAGAGGCCTGTACATTCCACCCATTTTAATGAGCCTCTACGTACAGTTGTCAAGCATGATCACAGAAAGCGACTTCGTGTTGGTTCACGTCATCTTGTCATCAGGTCCTCGCTGTCATTAAAACGAAAAAAAAAAAAAAACAACAAAAAAAACATCGACTTTGCTTCAGTCTCAATAACAATATTGCTGGAGGGGTTGGTTCGGTCGTTTCAGTCTGTCTCGGCACTTCTTTTCGTAGGGCACACCAATTCTTTTCTTCATCATCTACCCCTTTGCCCTTTTCATGTTCCACAGAGTACACAGCAGCGCACTCACCTTCAGAAGGCAAGCGCAGCAGATTGAAAAAAAACAAAAAAACCTTTTACGTTCTACTCATTAAATTAAATAGGTAACACTGATATGGCTACAGTCATCAAATAATATGGAATGTCAGGCAAATACGCCACGTGTTTAAGGTACTCTAGGGGGGGTGGTGGGCTCAACAACTCTAGTAGACGTAGATCTGCTTCAGCTGGTCGCGCAGCTCCGGGGGGATGCTGCACGAGTCCTCGGGCTTCTTCTTCACCAGCCGCTTCCACTTGCCACGCAGGTTCTTACGGAGTCCCTTGCTGTCCTGTGGGACCTCACACGGCAGCTCGCGCACCAGCGTGTCCTGCGAAAACAGAGAAACAAAAAACCCATCAGAAACAAAGTTAGACATCGGCCACGGCGAGCCTACAGCTTTTTTCTCTAAAGAAAAAATAACAAAAACAGAACCGCACAAAAACCAGCAAGCACGTTTGCCAAGAGTTTTTTTTGTGCCATCCAAGCGAAAGTCACATTCGCACACACATACACACACCGAGGTCAAGACCGATCTCTTTTCCTTCAGCCCCGCCCCCCCCCCTTCCCACAGCACGCATAGTGTTAAACGACCTTTGTGGCAAGACGGACTATTCTTGTATCGCCGCAGAGTCATGTTTCTCTCTCTCTCTCTCTCTCTCTCTCTCTCCGTGTGTCTGCGAGAGTGTTAAACCGATTTCGACACACAACTTGCCGACATTTACGCCCCATCCGTGCTCTTTCTCAGCCCCCCCCCCCTCCCCAACCCTTCGGCGGGAGGGGCCCCGACGCATCTGGATGGATGCTGAGCCAGCACCACCACACGTACAACACGTCGGGCCAAACTGCAGCGTTCGGACGGCCTAAATTTAGCCACCGAGGGGGGTGAGTAAGTAGGGAGGGAGGGGGGGGGGGCAGATGTTGGCAAAGCGCCCTGCTCGCGTCTCGCGCCCCGCCCCCTCGACGAGCAGCCAGCCTCGTGACGCCGCCGTCACACCCTGTGCGGGCACGTCACGGAGCACGTCACCGCCGCCGGTCGTCGTCCAAGTCTTTCGTCGGCCGGAAGACAACATTTTCAATTTTGCTCGTGATACTTTTTTAAACAGAAGTTTCTTCTTTGGCCCCATCAACACAAAACTCCTGGGAAAATTTCAAAGTTTCGCAAAAGAGGGAGAGGAAAAGGAGAACGTGTCCGATTGAGCATTTCGAATTGCGCGCGCTCGTGTACAGGCGGAACGCGCGCTGCTCGGCCGTGCGGCGCATGCGCTGCAGCAGGCTACCTGACCCCGGAAGTACTTCGCGACTAGCACCACATC